GTTATTATCACCCATCGGCTAGAAAGAAGCATGGTGGCATATAATGGAAAGAGTACTGAACTCTGAACCAAGACTGTGAGGGTTTGCATCCCACCTCTGACACTGTCTGTGTGACCCTGAACAATTCATATAACTTTCCTGAGTCTGTTTCCCTACATGTAAAAGTGAGCACCTCACAGGGTGTGCTAGAAATGAAATCATATACGGAAAGTGATTTATCAATTTTGAAGTGCTATGGAAAAGTGTCAGCAAATGTTTACTACAAACTGTTAACATCATCCTTCAGATGGTATATTTTATTCACTAGAAACATTGGAAATGTAGTCATATTTGCAAAATATTTAAACTATTCTTCTACACTCAACTGAAATGAGTAAAATTGGTCCAGTAGACAGTAAATCCATTCATGTGGTTTTGTACACTTCATAAATCCATTTTGTAATAGTGAAATTGAGTCACACTCTCTCAGTGCCACAGACACTGAGATGACAAGTAACCAAGAAACTTACTTTGATCAAAATGTTCTTTCTACACTTTCAGAATCTTAACCACTTCTGTGTGTATGGGAACGACAGACAAACAGAAACAGAGAAACTATCATGCCTCTAATTTACTGTTTCTCACATATGACACTCCATCCCCCGACTCTCTGCATTTGTCCTGTCTACCCCTCATGCTTGGAACCCCCTCCACTCAACTTCACTTCAACCTGGTGTCCTTCAAGACTCAATTCAAGGTTGGCAATCATGATCTCAGACAAAGCAAAAGCAAAAACAGACTAACTGAAGTAGACAATCAGGGAAACCATATTTTGTTCATGTAGACAATGAAGCAATATCAAAAAACTTTACAGCAAATTTATCTGATAAAGGCCTCATTTCTCAAATAAGTCAAATTAAAAAAAAATAAGAGCCATTCCCCAATTGATATATGGTCAAAGGATATGAACAGCTGGTTTTTAGAAACTATTCTCTATTAATTAGAGAAAGGCAAATTAAAACAACTCTGAGGTACCACCTCGCACCTATCAGAAATGACAAATATCTGGAAGGGATGAGGAAAAACAAGTATGGTAATGACCGCTGATAGAGTAGTGAACTAATCCAACTATTCTAGAAGACAATCTGAAACTATGCCCAAAGGGCTATAAAATTACACATGCCCTTTCAGCCAGCAATACCACTACTAGGTCTGTACCCCAAAGCTATCAAGGAAAAAGGAAAAGGACCTACATGTGCAAAAATATGTATAGCAGCTCTTTTGGCAGTGGCAAAGAATTGGAAACTAAGAGGATGGCCATCATGTGGGGAATGAGACTAAACAAGTTGTGGCATATAATTGGAATGGAGTACTATTGTGCTATATATAAGAAATGATGATGGAAGGTGGTTTCAGAAAAATATGGCAAGACCTATATGAAGTGATGCAAACAGAAGTGAGAAGAAGTGGGAGATCATTGTGCACAGCCTTAATGATGATCAACTGTGAAAGACTTGGCTATCTGATCAGTATAGTGATCCAAGATAGTTCCAAAGGACTCATAATGAAAAAGTGCTATCCACCTCCAGAAAGAGAACTGATGAATTCGGAGTGTAAATCTTTGTGTTTTACAATAAGGCTAATATGAAAATATGTTTTACATTATTTCACACTGGTAATTGATAGCATATTGTTTGCCTTCTCAGTGGGTGGTGCAGGTGTGGGAGGGCAGGGGAGAATCTGGAACTCAAAATTTAAAAAAAAAAAGAACGTTAAAAATAATTTTTTAAAAAAAGATTCTAATCAAGGATCACCTTTGACAGTCTTGTCTGGCACCCTTCTCTTCTGGAACCCTTCCTCTCATAGTTGCTTTGTATTTATTTTGACTATATGTGGTCTCTATTTAAGTGAGAGGGAGTGTGATATCACGGACAGAGTTGGCCATGGAGTAGGGAAAAGTTGGGTTTATGTCCTGCTTTTGACACCTACTAATAAGCAATAATCTACATAATTCTCTAAGCTTTTGAGAGGCAGAGAAAAGGCCAACCTGCATTCATGGAATGAATTTCCTCCTTCTGGAAGTTCGCTATATCAATGAAATCACAGACCCAATCCCAATCTATAATATCCATGTCTCTATTATCTCTCCTAAGCAAATGTGTGCTCCTTGAAGTCAGGGCCTATTTCATTTTTGTCTCTGTATTCCCAATGCCCCATTCCAATTTCCTAGTGCCTAACATTCATTAGGCTTCCGCAAAATGCTAGCTGGTTGAGTGAGGAATCCCAGTGGTTAGAATGGATATATTCTGATTAACCTATATGAGGATCACACAGTTCTGAGGCTGAAAGGGCTACCTTAAAGACCATATGGTCCAACACTTTTATTTTAAAATGAGGAAACAAAAGACCCAAGAGCTTCAATGACAATCAAAGTCACAAAGTCAAAAGCTAAGCCAAGCCTGAAATCTAAGGCTTTGGATTCCAAGGCTATCTTTCTTTTCATTTCACACCATTCTCTACTAATAAACGCTCAAAAAAACACAGGCTTATTAACTGATAGAATAATTTAAATAGTTGTTGTCAACCACTTCAAGAACCACTTTTTTAAAAAAAAACAAATAGCCTCCAAATAGGATGAAAAAGTATCTATTAAGTTACTCTGTACCAAGCAAGCACTTTGCTAAGCCCTGGAAATACACATTCAAAAGTGAGATGGTTACTGCTCTCCTAGAGCTTCTTTTCTAACTAGGGGAGATAAAACATATAGGACAGTTTAAGGGAAACTGAGATGAAAAGAAGCCCTGAAAACAAGACCCAGGAGTCTTTAGAATGCACTATCTGGAATAAAAGATCCTGGACTAAGATATTGCCAATCAGTAGAGTTTTCAGACTTTCTTACTTAGACTTGTAAGAACATTCAAGGAGGAAACTTTCTGATATGTAGGCAATGCTATATTGGTTTATTCAACTGTTCACTCTTCCAGTCAGTAAAACAATGAGCAGTTACTATAATTATTGCTAAATAATATGTTACTCATGCTACCTAGGCAAAACAACAACTTTTTAAAACCTTGTATTGGCTAATGGGGAAATTCCGTGTTTTTCTAGTGCTTACATGGTATTTTGTTCCGCATACAGAAAGCTGGCACACAAATGAATACAGAAGGACTAAATTTGGTCAACATTCATCTCCAGGAACACTCAATAAAGTTTCCATTCCTTCTTGTTAAAGGCACAGGAGATACGGGTTCCACTCTTGGCCTTGCTGTTAGCTAGCTGTGGGACTTTCAAAGCCTTTGACTTTCTGAGCTTCTTTTCATCACCTTCAAGATTAGCAGAGTCAACTAAATTATCTCAAAGGTTTGTTTTTTTTTAATTGATCTAAAGGCACATCCAAAAATGGATCTAAGTTCCTTTTCATTAATATCTAATTTTTCTTAAAAAGGAAAATTTTTTATTTGTCCCATTTCCTTTAAAGTAAAGACAGAATGCTATTAAGGATATTCATATAATCTTTTCTAGCATGCTGGACTTTGAATTGCAGGCAGGTAAATTACAAAATTGCTCCGTTAAAATCATAGGAATTCAGACTCAAAAAGGCTGGATCCTCTGGTTATAAGACACTGAGCAGCACAGAACTTCTCTGGGACTCTGTGTCTGTGAAATGTGTTCATGAGATGATTTCTGACATCACATTCAAATCTAAAATTAAGTAAAATTCATTTTTAAAATGCATTGTAAAGGGAGTTAAAAGATGGGTAGAATTTGAATCCAAGTCCAGTACACCACACTGCCTAAAATTAAATAAAACCTATTTCTTACAGGCACCCACAATTAAATATGGCAAATTACTAATACCGGTTTCCGACATTAGCAATTCAAAGACCAGACTTTACAAAATGAATCCGTGAAGATAACCTCACAACACTGAAAAAGCCACATGATCAGAATTGTTATCAAAAGACACAAGGACTTAAAACACACACACACACACACACACACACACACAGTAGTCACTTAAGCTCCAACCAATTATCAGGAATTTTACAAAAGGATGTTATTTAATCCTATTATTTAGTACTATGATTTCATCAGTATCAAACTCTCCACTGTCAGACTACAACCTGTCTATAAGCTCAGTCAGAGTTGTCTGAGGCCCAGAGAAGTTACCCAGAGTCACACAGATAGGAAATAGAAAAAAACAGGGGCTTCCAGCACTCTATACACTTTGTTATGCTGTCTGTCAAACTAGCATCAGAGATGGTGTCCAAATCTTTTAAATATACATGGTGTAAATATACATGGGGGGATTTATTTTCATCAATTTATCTCTAATATTTGAACATTTGATAGAGTAGTTTACTGGGTACATCAAGCTAGAAGAAAGAAAGGAAAACTCTGTTCCTTTAAGAGAGCTCCCAGAGGTTAAAGCTTCCAAGGATCTGGTCATTAAGGTCTTTTTCTAAGTCCCAGGAAATTAAAAGCTTTGGGGAGAATCCTCCATAGGAGAAAATGTTAGTTTTAAATTTCACCCATCCCAGCCCCCCCAAATGTTCACATTTCATTGCTTAGGAGGGCAACAGGAAAATTTAGAAGGCTTGGATCATGCCATGATCTTTGTCTATCACTGAGATGTAATGGAAACCAAGGGACAACAGCTCGTTCTATTTTGCATGTACTACATTTAAAAAGTCAAGCCATGAGTCTTGAATTTAAAAACAAAGTCTTTCACTTGTCATCTTTAACCGTCAGTTACAATGACCAGTTAAGTCTGCCATGATGCCTCCGTTATAGATGAACTCTATGCCTATTCAAGAAAACAATATAACCAAAGCGTATTTGGCATCCACTTCTTTCAAAATGATGATTACATTCTTGATAGCCAGAAACTCAGATAATGTTGGGCCTTTTGTATACTTTCTACAGGGAGTTTTTTTTAGTCCTTCGCTACCAGAATTTTTTTTATTTAATATTAACACCAATAGACACATCAGACTTCAAAAGAAAGCTTCTTAACTTACCCTTTTTGCTATTGGGCATCACACCTCTGCACTCCTGGTCTACCACAGCTCACAGCAGAGCCATGGAAGCTTCACCATTGCCAAATGCTTTTTTTCAGGAACTGGAATTGATCAGAAAAGGCTCTTGGGATACTGAAACACAAAAATATTTTTTAAACCTAAGTTAGATGTGACATCTCAAACCACCACTTCCTTAAACATGAAAACAGTAAAACAGACATAGAGTCTAGAAGCAAGAGGAAAACACCTTTGTAACTAGACTATTTCAATACACCAAGTGTGATTATATAAAAAATAGACCGGAAATACTGCTCTGAAAGATGTTTACCAACTACTTCAGTACAAAGATTAAAAAGCTGCTATTCTCTAATGAAGAAAGCTCTTCCATGAAAGCATTTAAGTATATATTTTAGCATTACTGGTACAATACAGCACCTCAGCTTTATTTTTAATAATAATAAAAAAATTGCTTTAAATTCAAGCCTTGGCAGGAGTAGGGAAAGGGCATTATTTCCAGTCTGGTAATGATATTTTCCATAAGCTGAACAAAACATGAAAATATTCAAAATCATAATTTTCAAAGTGAAATCCAGCAGTTCCCCTCTTGTATCTCAAACAAAAAGAGGAAAATGAGCACCACGGCTACCACAACAGTTATTTTTAATTCTTTTTCTCTCCAAAGGTTGTTTTCATTTCAAAAATATTCAAGAATTAATTAATTATATAACCTTGATCAGATCACTGTTGCTTTCTGAGTCTCCTCTGCACCATTTATAAAATGAAGGAGTTGGACAATATCAGTGTTTTTCCGACTAACTCGGCCAAGGAAATTGAGGCCTGAAATAGATCATCATTGACCACAAGTGCTGATCCAGCAAATTTTCTAATAGGAGAGAAATCCTCTTTTCATACTGAAAAGTTGCCACGCATGATAAATATTTGCATAAACATCATTTCACATTTACTATTTCAGAAAAAAGACATTGACCCTTTGTCATTTAAGGCCTCTTCACAGCATAGGGAATTCCAAGGGTCCACAAAAGAGTTTGTCAACAGGTAGTTTCAGACAATCTCAAAAGCCCATTAGATCGAAAACTCCTGGAAAGTAATGATTGTTTCACTCTTTGTATCTGAATGCCCAATGCCTAGCACGAGCCCTCCCTGCACATAATCAGAGCTTAATAAATGCTTGTTGATTGGTTAGTTTTGTAACTGTTTAAAGCTTAAAGGTCAAGCAACAAGATTACAGAAGTAGTGATTGACCAATCTGGAATCTGAATGTAGGGCGACTGACTGCAAATCTGTTCTTATTTTCACTGAAGCAAACCAACTTCCTTTGGCAAAGGATACAGTTTCTAAAAATCTAAACTGTTTCTACTATCCATCATCCTCATTAAAAAGTAATATAAGTAACACGTTTCAATACCCTTCAAAATAAGTAGTCACTATTAGGTAAGTGTTATACTGTTTTCATTTTCCATGCAGCTTTTTGTGTCCGTAAAAATGTTTAGCAATCATTCAGCTTGATTCTCAATTTCAAGCTAATGATACATGTTCATGGAGATTTCCCATAAGTTACCAGCTTAGTCTGGGTACCCACAAAAGAATCTGGTTAACTGTACAACAAAATGTCTAAAGGGAGCATGGCCCTGTGCATAGAGCAAAGTCACTCCCCCCACCCAAAAAAAAAAACAAAACTCAAAACCCATAACAGAAGTTTCTACCTCAAACTGTCCAAGGACTATGTCTTGTTTCAGCAATGCTTCATTTAGGGAAAGTGTAGTACAGTGCCTCCATCAGGCCACAAAAGGCTCAACGACTGATTCTCCTGGCCTTCCTCATAGCAGAAGAGGTGAGAGTGGATGAGTTCATTCATCATTCTTGACTATTAGAATGTTGTGCCAAACTATTTTTCAGCTATTTTAAGTCAACATTTGTTCATTGTCAAGCATGGGTCAGAAGATTGTATTTGGCATAATAGGAAATAAAGAGGAAATCGATCGTGTGATCTCTTGCTGTCAAAGGCGTCAGATCACACATCACAGAATACAGGCACTCGAAGCTATCTTCCAAATCCAGGAGTTCTTAAACCTTTCTTTTTTCAATGTCATGGACTCCTCTGACAATTTGGTAAAGCCAAAGGAACTTGTTTTTAAGTGCACAATAGAAAACACAGGGGATTAAAAAGGAAATCAATTATTTTGAAATAGTCATCAAAATATTTGAAAAACAAGTTCATGGTCCTGAGTTAAGAACCCTGATCTAACCCAATCTCTTCATTTTACACATGAAAAAACTGAGTTTAAGTAACTGGTCCATGGCAAATTTTTGTGGTGAATCAAGACTATGAAGTAATCTGTTAAATACCAACTTTCCACCAAGAACTGTGATGGGCACTGGGGGTACAATATAAAAATGAAACAGTCCAGGGCAGCTCGGTGGCGCAGTGGATAGAGCACCGGCCCTGAAGTCAGGAGGACCTGAGTTCAAATCCGGCCTCAGACCAAACGCTTGACACTTACTAGCTGTGTGACCCTGGGCAAGTCACTTAACCCCAACTGCCTAAAAAAATGAAACAGTCCTTCCCCTCAAGGAACTTATATTCTTTCAGAGGAAATAGCATGTATACATATAAACAAACACAAAAATAACATTCAAAATGAATAGAATGTCATTTTTGAGGGGGGAAGCACAACCAGCTTTGTGGATCAGAAAGGGCCCCACGTAGGAGATGACATATGAGCTGAGTTTTGAAGAAAACTAGGAATCTAAATAGCAGAGGGGAGGAGGGAGTACACTTCCAACATGGGGGACAGCTGAGCAAAGGCACAGAGATGGAAGACAGAATGCTATCTGTGAGAAGCAGAAATAAGGCCAGTTTGGCTGAACATTTAAGTTCCTGAGCCCAGCACTGAAGTGAGTGCTGCTTATACCATGTTACTTATGACCTAAATGGGAAGAGAGGACCAACATACATGAAAAAGACAAAAAAAGACCCACACACAAACCAGGTGAAGATTAATTCTGCTATATGCGAATATAGGCATGAGGATCAAGAGAATGCAAGACAAATTCAAGTGATGTTTACTAGTGGTCAGTCAGAGAAGGTTTCATACAGGAGTAAGTATTGAGCAAGTTTCCTGTGGAGGAGAGAGAGAGAGAAAAGGAGGAAAAGAAAAAGCACTTGCCCAAGAGGGAATGGGCTGTTCAAAGGCCCAGGGGTGGGAGTCAGCAAGCCACGTGTGAGAGTCATCCGGCAGGTTTCCCTTGTTGGAGTGGCCATTCATTCAAGGTGGAGGCATAATAGGAGCAGAGGGTGGGAGGGCCAATTGGTGGAGGAAAAGACTTGGATGAGATGTTTCATTTTGGTTCAGGAAGCAATCTGCAGTCACGGCAGGTTTCATAGCAGAGATGTGATATAATCAGACAACACTTGAAGAAAATGATCCTCGTTGCTGTCTTGACTGATGCTTTGCTACCTATTCACTTCCAACTAAATCGAGTGGGCATGTCCAGAGATAAAGGGAAAACATCAGTAAACATGCCCTCTCCAAAGAAATAAATACCTCTCAGGTCAATCACAATATGCTGGCACTTTGCTCAACTACTACTCATTACAACATGGAATGTGGCAGGGACACTTTAGAACAGAGCCCATCCAACAGGGGTGAGTGCTGGCAAAGACCTGGCTTCTGCCACATGCCCTGCGGCATGTACTGGAAAGCCAGCATGGTAGTGAGATTCCAATGCACTAATCAAGAACTGTAATAAATTAAAATATCCTTCAAATATTTTACAGAAAAGGGCTAGAAGAGCTGAAACGTTAATTGTGCCATATTCAATCTGTTTTCATAGAGATTTAAAAGCCAAATTATTATCCTGGGTATCATTAAAAAGCATGAGGTTCTCTCTCATTCCTATTTACACACTGAAATGCATATTCTTTCTTGGTAGGTAATACCCAGCTTGTTAACTTGTGTGGCTACTTAAAATAATACAGTCTGCACAGAATGAGAAGTCTAAGATTCAATTCTGTCGGAATTGGTTTTTTTTTTCTTTTTAAAGTAAGGCACCAAATGTTTAGGGAATATCCTTACCAAACAACTCAGGCACATAAACAGGTAGAGGCTGTAATAAAATATACAGTATTTTCTAGTTTTGTTCTCTTCTGTTTATTTTTCCCTGCAGCAATCCTCACTTTGTACATTTGTCTACAGGGAACTGGGAAGGAGCAGCTGCAGACTCCCTAAGGCCACTACCTAGCAATCAAGTTGTTTACAAAACACCACCATAGAGCAAAAACAAAAACAAAAACAAACTCAGACTCACAACACAAAAACCTGCCAGCACAAAGAGGTCATTTTTCAAAAAATATAAATAAATAAAAAGGAAATAGCCAATGCTACCAAAAGTTTGGTGCATTTATCAAACCTCATCGATGCAAAAAAAAGAGTAATTGAAATTGAAAGAACATATTTTGTTTGATGTCACTTTTGGAATTGTTTGCATTGGCAACAGAACTGTGATAAATCACAAGCACTTGATTCCTTCAATGGCTGATGGGTACCTGCCTTAGAAGGAGCAGAGTCTGGTGATGGCAACCAAAAGAACATTGGCTAGGCCTCTAACAAGCCTCTCTCAAGCCCGGAGTGACCAATCACCAACACTGAGGCAACAGGAAAAATAAACTAAATTTAAGAAGCAAAACCCTCCTTCTTTTTCTGGGATTACCTGTATGAGTGCAGAGTACCTCTCTAGCCTGAGAGCTAATAGAAAGATGTAAAATTCAAATGGTCAGCCAAAAAATCTATCCAGATTTCAATAAACAGAAAGTCAGGCAGGCAAGCTGACAGAGATAATGATAAATATAGCTGGATGATAGATTCATTTATTATATCAGATGTATAAGTAGATTAATAAAACCATCCAGTAGAAGGATGCCATGGGACTAACCCAGATGTTTCATTTATCCCTCATGCCCCACATGGTAAAGTGGTCATATTTTCCATATTAGGTTCTAGACTGTAATAGAAAGAAACACAATTGTGGAAGTTGAAGCCTTAATCATTAGCTAACGAGTTTTCCTTTTATTTGAGAACTTGAAAAAGAAGTAGAACAAAGAAGGTGGAAGG